AACAAATTTGTGACATACCTATTACCTATTTGTTTAAATGATAATATTAAAATAATATTACTGTCTGACAAAATTGTTATCATTTCTGTTCTTATCAAGCTATGTTACATCAAAACCTTTTACTCGTTGAAAAAAATAAAAACAAATTCATACCCAATGTAGATTTTCCTAATGCAACAATCCTAGCCAATATTTTCTGCCATTGAGGAGTGATAACAACTACTATATCAAATGATACAATTTCCTTCAAGTATAATATTATATATTTTCAACATTTTCGACAACATATCTAAACCGAATATTATAATGTGTGTTAATAATATATTGTATTTTGTTTTATACATTATATTAAATTTATCAGATTGAGTTAAAAACGGAAAAAATGACATCAGTGAACAAGCTCAATAAAATATTTCATGTTTCAGTAAAGTTTACCTTAGGTTGACCACTGACCATACATCCCTTAGGCCCACCACTAGCCGTAAATAAATATATAGACATAAATAAAACAAATTGTTTTCTATTTTTGTTTTTTTTTTTTATTTTTCGTGATGTATTTTAAAATTTTAGGAATTTTTGCTCAGTGGTTCATTATTTAAAAAGACATCCTAGGATAATGGGGACGGGTGCAGCTACTTTTATAGATAATTTAATGTACACCTGTAAGCAACGATAAACCATTGCTTACGAAAAAACGATTTGAGTGAAGTTCAGTTGATAGTGATATTTTAACAATAATATATAATATATATATTCGTTAATATATATAAGTCATATTACAGTAAAAAATAGGCTTTCTATATTTTCTTTAATAATATATGTTTAATGTTGTACCGATTTGCCCCGTTGTTCTACGTTTTTTCGGTTTTTCCATGTTTTAACGGTTTTTCAAATTTGCATGGAAAACTCTTAAGAAAATCGAAAAATAACATCCTTACAGTACCTCTCTAGACCGATATTATTTCAGAAAAGTTGTTATACTTGAAAATCTGAGCAAGTCTTCTGGTAGAAATATAACAAAAAAAATAATAAAAAAATAAACATCTTTGTAAAACCATAAGCTCCTTCGCTTCACTCAGAATCTAAAATAATTATAATAATATTTTAAATGTAAAAACTAATTTTAAAATAATGTTTTATATCAATATATTTTAGATAAAAAATAATAACCAAATAATTTATATTTCATAACATATCCATGTCTAATGATAACACATTTTAAGCAATCTTTCCTATTAAAATAAATTATTTTTATGTAAAAAGACCAATTTGTATGTATTATTTTTCTATGTATTCCTTCATTTAATTTTCGATTCTGAGTAGAGCGAAGAAGTTTATGTTTTTACAAAGATGTATTTTTTTTTTTTTTTGTGGATAACTTTTCTACTAGAGGATTTGCTCAGATTTGTACGTGTTTCAACTTTTCTGAAAGGAAATCGGTATGAGGTGGTACATTAAAGAAGTCATTTTTAATTTCTCTAGAGAGTTTTCTCATCAAATGTGAAAAACCGAAAAAAAAACGGGAAAATGTACGAAATATATTTGTATAATATTTCGATTTTTTTTCCTGTGGATTACTTTTCTACCAACAATTTCGCTCCAACATTTAATGATAGCAATTTCTCTAAAAAGAAAATTCACTGGAAAGGTTCTTTAGAGAAGTTATTTTTCGATTTTCTCCGGAGTTTTCTTAGCAAATGTGAAAAACTGGAAAAAACATGGGAAAACCCGAAAAAACGTAGGAAAACCAGGGAAATCCATGCTATATCAAACACATATTATTAAAAAAATAATACAAAGCCTATTTAATTATTTTACTTTATTATGGCAAATATATTGTTGACAAAGTATCACTATAAATTGAACTCCACTCAGAATCGTTTTTTTGTTAGCAATGGTTTATCTTTGCTTAGAGATAGACATTAAATTTTCGTCTGTATCGTACCTTCTCCACTTTCTGCTTATACCACTGGCTGCACCCGTCCCCATTATCTTACCTTTTTATAATCAATAAAATTTGTATACATAAATTGTTTATGTATGTATTTATTAATTATATTATTAGTAAGAACTATTTTAATAATTATATTTTTACTTTAAAAATGGTCCTCAAACAAGGCCGACCCGAGCGCCCAGCCGACTACCCGCCTAGTGGGAAGGTCGCCAACCTAGGACCGAGGTCCGAAGACCAGAGTCCTATGATTTTTGTGAGTGAGGAAGGAAAAAAAGAGAATTTAAATAAGTAAACTCGTGGTTTTCTCGGAGGAATGAATATAATTATTTATTTAATTTACTAATCAAAAGTAAAATTTAAGTTTAATAACAGAAAATCCCGGAGCACAAAAACTGTTAATTAAGAAAGAATGGATAATAGGTACGACTTATAAGATTATAGATATAAGCTTATAAACTAATATTTACAGACAATTTATATTTTAAATATATGTACATTGATTGGGGCGTCAACCAGTCGTAAGTGTTGTCCAGGCATAGATAGTAGCATCACGGGGATTGTGCAGGCCGGGACTTATTATATCTATGGATAAGGATGAATTCATATCCCGGTGTGTGTGTTGATCGATATGGATATTGACTGATACGGACCCCCACGTGGAACGTTCGTGGGCACCTTATGTGCTGGGGAGACCCCGGCAGGACTGTGTGGTTGACGGGTCGTACAGATTACCACCGGGAAGGGTAGCGGGAACGCTTTTTGTTCCATCTTGACTGGTTCGTAGTTTCAGTGGCCCTACGGGTGGACCTGCGGGGTGCGTCCAAATCTGTATCGCGAAATGGGGAAAATCGATCTATATATATATATATATATATATAATATATCGATATATATATAAATATATTCCTTTTTTAGATGTTCACACACGTGGATGCGAAACCTAGCACTTAGAGGGGATAGAAAATAAGAGAAAACAACAAAATACGGGAGGGGGTTTTGGCCTATCGCACTTAGAATGTGGAACGCGTGGATTTGCATGAGCCGGACACACAAGTCTAGCTGGTCGATTCCCATACGTATATCGGAAGCATTTACAATACGAAAAAGAAAACATTTTATATAAATAGATTCATACGGAGAAACCTTAATTAAATTACCTTAAAAACTAATTAACTAACAAACGGGGTATCGGCCAATTACTAAATTATACACATATTACCATCGTTCTCCCGAAGATGTCCGCTCAGCGAATCAGATCGGGACTCACTTCATTGATTCGTTCGAGGCACCATCATGAATCGTGCCAAGTTACACGACCTTTTCTTGGCGGCGAAAATTGGTGAATCCGTGTAATACACGGGAGTATTTTATTAAAAAAAACTATATCTGGAGACCGTCTGGTGACAGAAATCTCGAGACGAGGTCTAGACACGAAGAATGAAAAGAACGAACAGAAAAAGAACAACTGGGTGGTGGAGCGCGGAGACGTTCGTGGGACGTCGCCGCGGGCCGACGTTTTTGGCGATAAGAGGAAACGTGATATGATTGGCTATAAACCCGTTCTCAGAAATATAATATTATTTCGAATTGCAACAGATTGCGATCGCATAAACCTTTGCGCGGGGTGGGGGGGGGAATTATTGTTCATGATGACATAATGTATCCGTCGACGCGGGCGTAATCTATTAACCGGTCGACCATATCGATGGTAGGTATGCTTGTCCTTTGATAACGGGAAACGGTCGTTTTTGGAGATTACAATATATTATACGCGATTTCAAAGTGCATTATGCGGGGTGATCGATCTATCATAAGACACTCATTATCTCGAAAAGCATTAACATTTTTCGGAATTTATTATCTAGAACATTTAAGAAACAACCAGCTCTACAAAATTTTGTAATTATTTTATTTTTCACAACCTATTTTTGGGAGCGCAACGAAAACCTAATTTTGATTTTCAAATGGCAACCTATATTCAAAAATCCATAAATAGATGGAGAATTACTTAAAATAAATTTAAATTTCCGTTAATTCATTGACGAGATATTCCACTTTTATATTTGGTTTGAAGGAAAGTAGTGGAGTGGCGGTACAGCGCGCGGCGTGTTAATAATGCACCACCACTCTCCTCCGACCAAAACTTAGCTGTAAAATATCTCGTCAACAGATTGACGGATTCCGAAATTTCTACACTATAATCTATTTTATCTAATACTTCATCTATTTATGGAATTTTCAATATAGGTTATCATTTAAAAATCAGAAATAGTTAGTGATTTTACCCCCAAAATTAAGGGTGAAAAGAAATAACGTAAACGTAAAATGATAGAGCTGCGAGTTTCTAAAGTTTGTTGTAAAATTAATTCCGAAAAATGTTAAGACTTTCCGAGATAACGAGTGTCTTACGATAAATTCATCACCCTGTATACGGTCGATAATGAGTGCAATGAGAGAAACCATGTCAATTATACGATAACTGTAAATTAATTGGACGGCCGTTTTTATTATTAACAATGTTATGTAGTTGCTCCAATTAACGGCGTACTGTTTTAAAATGCTGCATATTAACCACGTGCAAACAACGATGTCATGCCTATTGAGCCTATCCTCACCTCACCGAACCCAAACGACCGATTTGTAATGCAATTTGCGTTATATTAATAAAGTACGAAACGACATAAAGGGATTACCGTTCGTCCCGGGTTACGTCAGGTTCGGAGGGACGGTAAAGGAGACGTTCCGAGGGTGCCGGACGCAGGCGTAACACAGCGCTGTACGGAAAAATAGCACGAATAAAATCCTTCGACAACAATATAGTATTACAATCTTTATAAACGAAAGATCTCCGACTTTCAGGTCTCGGATAAAAACAAATTAACAAAATTGGTGCTATAACTTAGGTTGTTCGAAAAGTCTCCCGATGTTTTCCCCGTCTCACGCAAGCCATAGTGCGTCGATGGAAATTTAGATACTAGGACATTCAAAAATCCAACTGATGTTCGTTGTCTGGGGTAACGAAAGTAAACCGTTGAACTTTTTCCTCTATCTAAAAACCATTGGTCATCGTTAAAAGTGATCAGAATATATGCATAGGCACAAACAGCGTTAATATTTCGCGACGTAGGCTTAAGCCCCACGATATTGGACATAATGTGTACTTAGTAAGTATTTACTCGATAACAAGACTTGCTTTGGTGGAGCTTGGTTAAGTTTTTCGAGGGTCTTCGTATGTCTATTTACGTTTATGAAGACGCGGTAAACCGAAATTCAAAAGGTCTATGAGACGTATTTCGATATTTTGTCATTTTTTTCCGAAACCCAGATGCCAGAGATTTTTCAACCGCTTTACACAAACCTGAAAGGCGATTAACCTAAAGTTCTATATTCTTTCCTTTTTTGATCATTACTTAGTTTTTTTTTTTTCAATTTAACTATTTCAGTGACGTTACTGGTGTTGTTAACAACAAGGTGGTTTAATTTATTTTCTTGTGCAAAGGCAAAAAGTTGGTCAGTGTCACATATTTTATCCGGTATGGAACAATTGTTTTTAAACTATAAAACCAGCGTCCGTCGTCATTTAACCCCGATTCGAGCGCCGATTGTAATCGAATATTTTTCGATTTATCCTCAACGTATATTATCATATCAATATGTTTGTAACCCTGCGACGGAACGCCTTGCATCCGATAATTACAGGCGTCGCTCGCTGAATGATGGCGGCCGCCTCTTGAATTATCGTCGCCGCGCGGAGAAATAACGGGAATACGGCGATCGAGTCTAGTGCGCGGTGTTTATGCATCCACCTAGTGTCTTGAGGTTAATTGGATGAAACAACCGGATATCCAAATTAATCATACCCGGGTGGGATGGGGAAGAAGACTTAACGAGGCGGCAAGCGAGCACAATATTATTACATGAAACGGCGTGCGGACGACCAGTGGTGGGGTGGGTACCGCGATGACCGAGTAAATATTATTGCTGTCGAGACGGCAGCGGGGCCAGGGTACAAGGGGGGGGAGGGGTGGCGGTCGGTGGACGGGCACCATTCGCGGCGCGGGTGGGCCGGCGGTGGTACGCGTAGAGGATGTCGCCAAAACCGGTATGAATTATTATTATTATTTCGGTCGCGGTGTATGGCGGCGCGCGTACTTGTTGGACTCACCTGTTGCGACGTCGAGGTGGTGTGCGCGAGCGCCAAACGACCGTGGACGGGCCCGCGGACGTGACTCTCGAGAAGACGGTGGCGGTAGCGGCGGTGGCGATGCGAACGAAAGGTACACGCGAAACACTTGTGCGCGCTCCGGCGTTCGACGGGCGACTGAGACTAGACAAGTTCGTTCGTCCGTCAATGGGGTACCGCGCGGTGCACCGGTACTATAAGCACTGGCCGACCGACGGCTCGGCTCGCTCGCTGGATGGCTGGTTGGCTGGCTGGCTGACGCGCGCCGAATTCGGCAAACCAACAAGTTGCACGGTGGCGCTAACTGCGGCGGCGGCTTTCGTTCTTCGCCGGATATTTGTACTTTATCCCTGCCGTCGACCCGCGACCGTCACCGCATTACCGTTGAATACCGCCGACCGACCCTGTCGTCGTTCCCTACGCGACCGATCTATTCCGTGCCGACTCTGTAACCCGCGCTCCATCACGCGCGCACCTCACACTCCATCGCCAATCGCATACGCACATTTATTACAACGTTCCTCTTCCGTCTATATACGTTCGGCCGCGGTTACTTCGTGAAAGAGAGAGAAAGAGAGAGAGAGAGAGAGAGAGAGATAGAGAGAGAGAGAGACGGCAAGAGCAAGAGAAATAGTGATACGTTAATCAATATACGCCCCCCTCGAACCCCACTCCCTATCGTAAACCCGTTCCACAACAATTGATAACAATTAACTAACCATAATGTTAATATTATTATGATTATTGTTTTTATTTTACCGTCCGAAGCCGAACTGTTTAGGATATGTATATTACGTTACGGGCAATGTGGAATGTCGCGCAAAGTACATTTTGTCCGGGCAATGTAAACAGAAAATACCAGTTTATTCGAACCTAAAATGTGTGGATTATTTTATTATCTATAAGGAAAAACGAATATAAAAATTATTATTCGCACTCGTTTCGTTATATTATACACACGCCACATAAATATAGTTTAGATTTATGTATTGTACTATTATTGTTGTACTTAATATTATTTGCACACATCGAACTAACAAAATAAATTAATTGTCAATTAACAGGATCAATTTGCGAATTTTCCAGTCGAGTTTATCCAACTTTATTTGTTTTATAGGAATGTAATAGATTTATTTTTTTAATGTTATCTTAATTGTTTGATAACTTTAATAAAATTATTGAACAAAAAAATCAACCAGCTATTTGAATACGCTTTCCTTTTAAATTGCATAATAATTTACAAAAAATATATAAATAAACTCTTTCACTTGTATACATGTATCTAGTATGTATTTTATGTACATTGCGCGTTAAAATAAATTTTACTCGTATTTTATAATATTCGCACGTGCAGCTTACGGTATACACATCAAGGACGCCTACGTGAGGTGATGGGTTTAAGTGAAAATGTGAGGCATATATTATCCAAAACTAAGTTGTATTTATTCAGTATATTTTGAGTAACCTATAGTGATATGAGACTGTGAGTTTAACGCACTAAAAAATCGTACAAAACGAAAACCTTAAGAATAATAATATCATATCGTCGACTTGCAATCAGCGGATGGTATTAAACAAAAACGAATGTTAACCGATTTCGACTAATATTTTTGTATACATTTTTTATTTATCAATTTATTAGCAATCCGTGTTCGATTTGAAACTGATGAAATTTCCTTATGTAAAGTAACGGGCGTTAATCAACCAGAATGTTGCAACATCATTTTCGCTTTAAGTACCTTCTGCGATCTACTGGAATAATGCAAGAAAGGAGTCGAAAGGATGGTAAGAATAAACATGAGTGTAAATTGATTAGAGAGGGTTAGAACAGTAATGGCGCATAGCACGTATGTAAATATTTCAAAAAAAAACACGATAAAAAAAAAAATGTTTTATGACCTATATATTATTTGTTCAACTTTTAACATTATGCGTTTATAATACGTGATATATATTTTTTTTGAACGTAAATTAAAAATGTAAAAAAGTTACTAAAATATTCACAAATTCACAGCCCGATACTAATAATATTAATAATACCTGTTGCAGATTTTGATCAAAGTGTATCACCGTCATCTCAATTGGGAAAGTTTTAATTCAATAGCGCGTAAGTGTATTATATATAATACAAGGTCTTCCGAATCACAAGTTACGTACATCATTCAATTTCTACTTAAAATACATATACTTTTAAAAAACCAAATATGTGAAAACTTTTTAGAATCGTTAATTCAAAAATCGTTATTTTATTCATCGTTGTGTTAAGGTGTAAAACTATTACAGACAATTTTCATTTTCAAATGGTAAACTACATATCGAAAAAAAAAATCCGCAAACAGATATGAAGTTTAAGTTTTAATGCTTTTTGGTTTCAAAACTTTGTAATTTTTATGTTTTAAACTTCTTGCGTGATTGACTGTATCGATGTGTCATCAAATTTAGATAGTTCGGTTCACTGAAACCGGCGGCGTTCAGCGATAATACGAGTTTAGCCGTACAGATATACACGATCGAAAACTTTTCATCGCATTTAATATTGTGTGTATCGAGTTCAAGCGAGTAATATAAATAACGTTCATGTATACAGAGGTGGCCAAAAGTCGCGCAACAAATTTGCAACACAATTTGTAATAGAAAAAAAAATCGTTTATTTCTTCAAATAAAAAAAAATGAAATAAAAATGAACATTACAAAGTAACATCATCTCACGGCAATTATAATAAATGTTCGAAATGATGTCTTCCAGCTTAAATAACTGCTCCACAACGTTTTTTTTACCGCATTTGTGGCGTTGTAGAAATACGAATAATCGGTGCTCAAAATTGTAATTCTTCCTCGATTCGCTTTTTTAAATGGATCAAATTTTGGATTGGCATCTTGTAAACTCGATCTTTGATAACTCCTCACATGCTGAAATCACAAGGTGTGAGATCGGGTGATCTTGGGGGCCATTCCGTCGTCCAACGGCGACCAATCCACCCGTTAAAGTTTTTATTCAAAAAATCACGAACCACAACCGCATAATGGAATGGGGCTCCATCTAGTTGCCAGATAATTCGCTTACCACGGAAGATATCTTTGTTGTCAAGTTTGATCTTGACTTCTTCAAGCGTTTCGAGGTATTTGGGACCGTTTACCAAGCCGCCATAAAAGTAAGGACTGATTATGGTGTAAGAATAGATGCCAGCCCACACATAGACGCCTGGAGCGTTTAATTCTTGAGTAATTATGACATTTGGGTTCTCAAAATCGTAGTAAACGCAATTATGACGATTTATTAATCCATTCGTTTTGAAAATTGCCTCATCTGTCCATAAAATCCATCGTAGGAAATCAGTATCGACCTGAGACATGATTTGAATCCATTCGATGAATTCGATTTGGCGATCGAAATCGTCTTCGTTGAGAGCTTTCAAAAGACGTGGACGATAAATGTGTAAATTCAGACTTTTCATCGTGCGTCTCAAGGACGTGCAAGGAATTTCTAGCTGGAGTGAAACGATTGATTCAATTTTTCGACGAACGTTTGAGACACTAATTGCAAATTTTCTTCCGTCATTGACGTCTTCGGTCGACCAGAACGCGGTTTATCGGTGACCGTTCCAAATTCTTCGATACGTTTTACCAATCTCCAAATGGTAGCACAATTTGGAGCAGAAGAACCGGGCGATTCAACGGCGAACTTCGATAACATCTGTAAAAGAACCTTCGTTTCTGTACCACAATTTTATTAATAAAATGCGTTCAACAAGCGATAATTTTGGAGAGGGCATTTCGGCAGTGTTACTAACGATAACGAACATGAAACTGCGTCTAATAGGTTATGTAGTTTTTTTATAATCCTTGCTGTTGTTGTACGCAAACAAGATAACAAGACCAAAGTTGCAATATGACTCAACTGAAACGACGTGGAGAGAAAAACTGCGCCATAACGCGTGTTCCATACAAGACGGTAGACGTTGTACGATTTTTGGCCACCTCTGTATTATACGTATATCGTTACATTTCTATATTATATCATGTAAATACAACTTTTCTACGTCTATTTATTTTCTCATCAAAACGCGCTTCTTTTTTTTTCTTTATATATATAATTCTACTGTACGTGTGTATGTCACTGAACTCCCCCTAAACGGCTGGACCGATTTGAATGAATTTTTTTGTATGCGTTTGGGTGACGCCTTGGATGGTTTAGATTCACAAATCAGCCTGGCAAATGGCACTGTAGTCGGTATCTAGGTTATTTATCTATACTGCAGTATCCGTCAGAATATTTATCTATAATGTAACTGAATAGCTGGATCAACTTGAATGAATTTATCCTAAGCGCTTGAAATATCATGCAGGACAACGTCTATCATTCATCCATTCAATCATTTTGTGTATGTATTCATTCATATCGTATTTGTGTGAATATTGAGCATTAATTTACGTGCATTAAATTAAGTTACGCAAAAAATTGCAAAAAATTAAGTTACGTGCATAGGATTTCGTTTATTTTTCTACATTTTAATTTGAGTGTATTATATTAAGTTTGTTTCGTTATTTTCACATTTTAATTTTGTTGTCTTTTGATATTTCAATGAATATTAAGTGTATTATATGTATACTAGCGGACCTAACACGTTATCTTGCATGATATTTCAAGCGATTAGGATATTAAACAAAGTATGAAATGAAAGACAAATAATATAATAATTTCATTATACTTTATTTTGAAATAACATCAATTTTTCTAAAAAGTTACACACATAAAACAATGTCACGTCTTCGTGGATGAGGATGAAATATTGGACGACGGTTTCGGAATTTACAATTAGTCCAGAAACTTCGGTTAAATAGATCGGCAGAAGATCAATTGACGGACAATGAAAATTTAAGAAACCAGGCTGCAATCACACGTACTAATGAAAGTCAAGAGCAACGCAATGAACGCCGTCGAGCTAATGCATTGAGACAAAGACTGACCCATCAACGAGTCACCGACACATTCAGAACGCCTAAACAACAGCGTTTGCAAGTGTATCGCGCATTTACACGTGTATCACTTCTTCGCCTTGCGTTTGAATATGAACCGGACATCGACCATTCATCACATTCACAAATTGTAATCGGTGTTATGAACAAACAATGCCAACACTGTCATGCACTCAAATACTTAAGTGAATCGGCCGGTTTCTGCTGCACGTCTGGAAAAGTTGTATTGCCACCATTGAATTTGACGCCAGATCCATTGAAAGCATTATTGGCTGGAGCTAAATCTCAATCTAAATTGTTTTTGCGTAAAATTCACAAATTCAATTCGTGTTTTCAAATGACATCATTTGGAGCAACAAAAATTGTTCAAAATGCGGATGGTCGCAATTTTCAATCAACGTTTAAGATTCAAGGCCAAGTGTATCATCAAATTGGTTCTTTAATGCCGATGTCTGATAGCGATTCAAAATGTCTGCAAATCTACTTCATGGATAATGAGGAGCAGCAAATAAACGCACGCTGCCAGTACAACCATATCGAGCAGATGGAAGAGCGAGAAATTATGAGTATTTTAGAATCATTTTTTACAAAATCACAACCAGTTGGTCCATTTTTTCGATACCGTTTCAAACAGACTACAAAGCGACAACTATACGATCGTCATCAAACCAGAAAAAGTACCATCTGGGCAGCACACGGGCCGATAGAATGCACTGACCATTAATGAAGTTGCAGTTGTTATAGTTGGCGACGCAATTGAACGTCGAGATATATGAATCAAACGCAGAGATAACACAATGCATACGATTGAAGACAGTCATCGCTCTTACGACGCTTTACAATATCCATTGATATTTTGGGAAGGAAAAGATGGATATCATTTAAATATCAAACAAAGAAATCCAGCAACAGATGCAGAAACGATCAAGAAAGTGAGCGCGATGAACTTTTACGTATATCGGTTGATGATTCGTACCAATGAAAACAATAATATTCTCCGATGCCGCCAACTGTTTTAGCAATATATCGTTGATATGTATGCGAAAATTGAAAGCGAGCGATTACGATACATCAGGTATAATCAAGCGAAAATTCGAGCTGAGGAGTATATTCATTTACGTGATGCTATTGTTGGTAACGTAAATGGAATAACTAATACCAACGACATCGGTACTTCATATATTCTTCCATCATCATATATAGGTAGCCCACGTCATATGCAAGAATATATCAAGACGCCATGACTTTTGTACACGCGTACGGATGACCAGATTTGTTCATTACATTTACATGTAATCCAAGATTGGATGAAATTAAAATTGTATTATTGCCAGGTCAAACTGCAATGGATCGGCACGATATCACTGCACGTGTCTTCAGACAAAAATTAAAATCGTTGATGAACTTGATTATACATTCCTCTGTATTGGCAAAACACGTTGCTTGCTGTATTCTGTTGAGTGACAAAAACGAGGTTTGCCATACGCGCATATTTTGATTTGGTTGGTCGACAAAATACAATCTGAAGAAATTGATAAAATTATCTCAGCAGAAATTCCTGCTATCGATATCGATCAAGAATTGTATGAGATTGTTACCGCTAACATGATCCATGGTCCATGCGGTACTATAAACATAACGGCGCCGTGCATGGACAATAGAAAATGTACGAACAATTTACCAAAAAATTGTATAAATGATACAATCACTAAAATCGATGGTAATCCTTTGTATCGTCGTAGAGACACTGACCATGGTGGTCGTCAATCACACCAATTACGTATGTCAAACGGTACAACAGTTGGCATTGACAATCAATGGGTGGTTCCATATTCACCATTGCTGTGTAAAATCTACAAAGCACACATAAACATTGAGCTCTGCAGTTCGGTGGAGTCCATAAAATATATATGCAAATATGTCCATAAGGGCAGTGATATGGCTGTATTTTCTGTTTAAAATGTTAACTAAAACGATGAAATAACACGATATCAAATAGGCCGATACATCAGCAGCAATGAAGCAGTTTGGCGAATTTTGAGTTTTCAGATACACAAAAGAGACCCTGCTGTTATACATTTGACCGTGCACATTTAAAATGGACGGCGTGTTTATTTCACGGAAAAGATTGCCCTACAGTGTGCATCAATTGCCCCAATTGCATCAAAAATCTTTTTTTAAAGTCTCTTCTTGTGTATATCAAATTTAAAACCCAGATGACCAAAGAACCGCAATAGCTTTAAATAGATACCGGACTAAGGAACGTAAACCTAATTGACGACCCAACTCTAGAATTTAAACTCCCTTGCATATTATGAACGGCAATGAACAAAATTAAAACCGAACAGAATCGGTGGAATCACATACTTTATAAATGGTTTATAAGATAATCAACTTTCTGTGGCTGTAAAGATATTCACACAAATTCGTGACGAGGCATAAAGCTGTATCCGGGTCTCTAATACAATTTAATCAAGAAGTAAAAGGTATCCACAATGATAAAAAGTATACAAGTTTATTGATTGGCTGGAAATTCTAAACGATTATCTATAAACATCTATTGTTTACTTGTTACCTGTACACAAAAAGAATGATCCAATCTGTGTGAAGATAAACTTTTCAAAAAGAAATATAGATGTAGATAATGTATTGTTCGCTGAACTTTTTTTAACCAAACAAGAAAAATCAAAAATACACAATATTTGTTCAGTTTTTGACCTCATATTTATTTAATGTTTCAGTAAACTTTACCCATGAGTATTTCTATAAGTATTTTATACGTATTATTTTTTATTAATCTATATTAGACTTACATGGCGTTTAAAAACATTAAAAATTAAATGAATATCAGTTATTAGTATATAATTATTATTATCATCAGTTATTTTATACAAATTGTTAAAAAGATTATTAAACTATTATTGTGAAAATAACTCTTCTCCTAGGGTATAGATGGGAGGCCAGAAAACGATACCAGCCAGTCAAAATAAAGTAGCGTGTTTAGATATATTCATATGGTTAATTATAAATACGCTTACACGAAACTACCTAGAATTTTATAGTGCTTACCGGATCAATTAATAACTAAATACTCGATTACTAGCAATAGTTGAAATATACAACTTCCAAACGTTGAGATAAGGGAATTGGTGTTAGAAAGTCACGATGCACAAAGTTTCCTTGGTCGTCCAGTCAGTAAAGCTACCTAGTTCTAAAGTAGAGTTTATAATTTTAAAATATCAGTATCCAACGATATTGACATAGTTTTGTACTATGTTGTCGTATACGTTCAAAAAAAAATCTTCAAGAAAAAATCTCAAAATAAATATATTTGATAAAATCATAATTTTTGTTAATCTACAGTTAGTTTTTATCTGATACTTATGGTAACGTCCAAAATTAGGTGAAAATACCTAAAATTAATATTGTTATTTAAATTACTAAATAAGTAATAGAATAAATTGCCCAATTAAACTAGAAAAATCAATTTTAAAACAAACAATAGTCATACTCGTAATAAAATAAATTTTTCAAACCTAAATTTAAAAAAAATCATCTCTGTAATCTCCTCCAATATATAATTTGTACGTCAGTCACTAATTCTGCTGGTGCTGATTTGAATAATAAGGTAAAATCAATATGTAAGATATAATATTTTTTTATTTTGTACTATGGTTATAAATATTTTTTGTCTCTGTATGTAAAGTTTATTCGTTTTGAAACAATTAGATTATTTATTCTTTTTACTTTGTAAATCACATAATAATAAAGAGTATATAAACAATATTGTTTGCACCTACTAATAATTATAATAATATAATTAATTTCCGTACAAAATAAAAAATAAATACAAATGTAATAAGAACGAGAAAATCGGAAAAAAAGACGTTGAGATTTTTAGAGGAATGAATTTTAAAAAATGTCGATCCTCGAATTTTTCTAAAATAATAAAATAAAAAAGTTATTTAATTATTTTACCAAAGTATACAAATTTAATTCGACTATACATATTTGTAGTAATATAATGCTGTGAATATAATAAAGAAAAAAAATCAGTATTTAGGTATCATTCATTATAATTTCCAGAATTTCCATAAATCATAATAAGAACTTGATCAAATATCTCGACTAAACTAAATAAATTAGTGTTCTATGGAATATCTTAAACTGCACAACCTATCAAGTATGATGATTGTCCGTCATCACTGTTGACATTCGGTCTGCCAGGATCGCGTTAAGTGGTTGCAACACACTAATATTTTAAAAGGTCAAATTCAGATTTCTGATTTGAAATTACGAAAATTTCAATTTTAGATTTCAAAATTTAACCTTTTAATTTTTTTTAAATCCATTATATTTTTTAATTTTCTATATTTTAAAAATTGGTAACAAATTATTTGTAATTGAGTTTTCCCAATTTGAAAATTCGGAAAATCATACTTTGAAAAATCCCAATTCTCTCCACCACTAGTTATCATAAATATATTAAGAAATGTACTGCTGCTCTCCATCTGTGCTAAGAATATAAGAAACAAAAACTAGTAGTTAAAGAGGAAAGTAGCCGTTTAATAAAATAAAGTTGTAACATGCACGCTTATAAATATATATGTATAATCAACTGTAAAATGTATTTAATGCGTGAACAGGAGAAGTAATAAATATAACAACTAAATAAAGAAAAATTCAAGTCGTATAACTGGGTACAAAGATATTGAGTGTTTTCAACAAACGTTTTCACAATGTATTCCAATACAAATTTAAAAATTTAAACTTTAAATAAATTATCTATAATACAGATATAATAGGTATACAGTGTAATAATAATATTAAAATACAGTGTAATAATAATATTAAAATACGTATCATAATAATATAAAACTATTATTTTAAGGAGCCTCCATTATTCTTTGAGCATTCGAATGATTTCATTTTGAGTTGTTTCTGTAAATAAGAATAAAAATATATCAAGAGGTTTATATTTATGTAGTAATATGTATTCTATGGAAACGTTATTTTATACTTGATAATTCTATTGGCTAAGGCCAACAAAAATTACAAATATGTGTGAAATATTATATGAATTTATTTTTCCAAAAGCTACAATATCCTAGGAAGATTAAACCGTTGATATTCTCATTATGTAGTATCTGTATACATCTATGTAAAACGTATTTAACTTATTTAATATAAAAAAACATTAAAATTATTCTCGTCTATAAGAAATTATTAGGTATCACCTTATATTACACAAAACAGAGATAAAAATGTTAGTGTAATAGAATCGATACGGTGGGTTGGGAACAGGTCACGGGTATGATAGTAGACGGGGTTCTAACAGGTAGTACATAAGACCTAGTGAATGTCGGAACAACAAAACGATTGAAGCATTAAAAATTTTGTTAACGACAAAATTGTGCAAATTAATTTATATGCTCAATCGTATTATACTCATTCGTGCTTTACCGAATGTCGGGTAGGTTCGGCAGTCCATAATGAATTATAGGATGCGTAATACGGAGCTACAGGATATTAGTAATATTGGTATTGTTATTTAAAATTATTTTTTGGAAACATATATGGAAAACCATATGTGATACTGTGTATGTTATGTGTGTATTTTATGTATATCATATAATATACTATCAAAACGTATAAAATATGTGTTAATACTGTGTGTTGTCCGATGACATTCCGCTTCTGCGTGATTGTATGTTTAAATTAATTTGTCATTAAATGCTTCTTTTATCAGTTTTTTTATTAGTAAATGCAGAACCGAAGGCAGGCTGCTGCACCTGATGATCAGTATTCTTATAGAACTATTATAACTGGATGTGATAACTTCTTCCGTCCTACTTTTAACACGGTAACGGTAACTTGATATGAATTAAAATCTGCAATTGGAGCACTGACTTACGGTTTATGCCGTTAACATTCGAACGAATCGGTATTGGTTACAACAGTTTTCTTTACGCTTAGAAAAATGGCCGATTAAACCACGCCTTATGTGTCGTATAATTCAGTATTCATAATTACTTTAGGTAATTTGCATAAGTGTTTACGTTGCGACGATATATCAAACCCATACTTATCAATATTCCAANGACGCTGTCCCAAAATTATAGCTTGTGATAGGTGCAGCAAGTTAATAAATAATATAACAAATAACAAATTGAAAACAACATCCAGTTTCTAATTTATCTATATCTATCATATTACGGCTGACGTTTTTTAGACGGCTGTTTTTGCAGATTAACAAAACATGTAAAAATGATTTTACTTCTGTAATCGAATAATATTAAGATATTTTTTTTTTTTGCGAACATTCACGTGATGGAGTAAGCGTTCATTTACACATTTATTTAAACATACACACGCACAGAAAATGAAGTCATCGAATAATACAAAGTAATAACCCATATTTTACGATTTGGCTATAGTGCATATTATAATACACATATTATATTAGGCATACACAGTATAACATCTAGTTGTCTGCACGCGGCGGTAACGTAACGTGACGTTAGATCATATAACCGCCGACAACCATACGCACCCCCTCACCACTCGCCGTTCTATTCAAAAGATCTTTTTGTACTTACTATTGTATGCAATATTATTGACCCTTGCATAGTAAAATAATTTGAATACCAACAATAATAATATCCTGTATCTTTGTAATAAGCATCTTATAATTATCAAGTACCGAAGAGACCCAACATTCTCAGGTCTCATATACCACCTGTTAGACCCGTCCCCCCATCATATCTGTCCCCTAACTATCATACTATTCAATACCTATTCTGTTACAAATAAGTCCTTTCAAATATATTTTTTTTCTAATACATAATGGATTTATAAATTTCTCTTTTTGTTGTGTTACAGAAGGTAACTTAATGAATTATATTTACAATAAAAGTAATACAATTTATTTAGAAAAAAATAATGTGATTTACCATTTAATTCTGGAAAATTATTAGAAAATGTATTAATAATAATAAGATGTTCAAACAATAAATATAGTTTTTAATTTGTTATATTTGAAACTGTACACTGGGTGACATTGTACAACAGGACGTACCGGTTTTGGGCACTTGCCGTTATTATGTATGTCATAAATGACCGGTACTTGAAAGTCGTCATGAGAGTACAAATGTACTTCTACTACTTTTCTGAGTATTACAAGACAAAGCATGCTCTGGTACATTGTATTTATTATTTTTTTTTTTTCATTGACTATCGTCAACCTAATAATGTAGTAGCTGAACCAGGGCTTCACCACCCCTCACAGTGTAGTTTAGAAGGCAATCGTAATTAGATTAAATCATTTGCATATGATCTATAGCGGCAATAGCTATGGCAAGCATGTTTAGTAAGTAGAAAATCAGACAAATTGGTGGTTAGTAACTTCTAAAAAATAATTTACAAACATTTTGAAAAAATTCTCAACATTATCGAAAGATTGTCCTAAATTGGACAAGTTTAGTCCGTTATGACTGCGTGAAGTTGGTCCCCCCGCTTGAAAAAGGGCCTCGCGTAAGAAATAATTGTTTCCAAATTCTGAGAATGAAATTATAGAAAATTTGTTTTGATTCATACTACATTAAGAGACCGCAGAAAATGTTTCTGTTTTTATTTTTAAATGTATTAACAAATCTTTTATTATTTCCACATAATAATACTAATATGTAAATGTATAAATCGTTATTACAATATTTAGGTAATTATATCCTTCAATGACATACCAGACAAATTCGTATTGCGTAAATAATATATAATATTGTCAAACTACATAAATGACCACATCGATTGAAACGGAAATAATTAGCTAACATTAAGTTAAACATAGATTTAAAATTTGTATCATACTACTTATTATTATTATACTTACTATAACTATTAAATTTGTTAACTGCAGAAATAATAAAAATACAAATAATGTTATAAGAAATAATTTTATTTTATTTAAATGATAAAATCGACAGATATTTAATATGAACAGTAGTAAGTTCTGCTCTCTTGTAAGTAAATCATTACAATTTTATAGAATATTAGATATATCAATTTTTTAAAGAGCAAATTTTAAACTCATAATATTTATTCCTTATACCAATAATAGCAGAGTTGTAATCACAATTGACACTAACCACCTGTCATTAATCAGTGACAAGTCCTTTTCGCTAATACAAATGAAATAATTAATAATGTGAATCGTGTTTAAACTTGCGAATATTCAAATTATGTAGAGGTAGGCTAACTATTCACATACTTGGATCTATGTGAAGTAATACTTTTCAAAAATCAACAAACCTTTCTAAACTCTATCATAATAAATGTATATCACTTAATACATCGGTGTGACATAAGTTACCCTGAACAAATTATTGTTTATTCTATACATAACCAATGTGCATAGAAAATAAAAAAAAACAATATTTCATTGTAGAGTAAACTTATTTAAATGAAATATGTCATTTTTCTCCATTTTTCTCTTCAAGACTAAAGTTACTTTTTTAAAAATTATAAGGAAATAAAAAATGTGTTTTACCACAAAAATTTTCAAATAAAGAACATCATAAAAAAAAAAAAAAATCATACAAAATTAATATTATCTAACTAGATTTTATTAATGCATACAATACTTACAACGTTCTCCTACGAAAATTAAAATTAAAAAAAAACATTGGTAAATTATTTTGGGTTTTATAGTAAGAACAAGTACATTATTAAATATTAAATAATAAATATTATGTCTCCTAAAACGAGAAACATTGGATTTTATGGTTAAATTCAATTTGTTATACAACTTATATACTAAACTTACCTTCGAAATTATTTTATAGGATTATAGTATCAATAAGCTCAAAAGTTTCACGTACTATTTTCCAAATTATTAATTTAAAAATCTTATGAATAGTGTCTAATTTTCAATACATTAATAACATCGATACATTGAAGAACCTTAATTAGGTACTCGAATTAATTGAGACTATACTTTGCTTGAAAAAGTGAACGCTCATAGTAAATCGCTTTAAAGTAATGTTAATAATTTTTAAATTATTGGAATACTATAAGAAGTTCAATGACAGAAAGAAAAATAATAAAAACAACAACGAAATAGATTAAAATAGATTAGAATAGATTATTAATGACTAGATAGTTACCAGACGACATTTAATATTTTTTGGGTAGTTCAACATGCAATTTTAAGAGTAATTGGGAACATAACTAAGATATTTGATTAGTTCATACGTTGTGTTTATTGACTTTAAAATTTATCTGACTCTAATTCAAATTTGTATTATACTATGTAAAATAACCAGAAAAACAATTATTATACTTACTTGCGCTACCGTTATCTTCAGAATTAATAAAAATAAAAATAACTCTTTTATATAAATGATAATTTCAAAATACCTTTAAAATGAATAAAAAATATTCGTTTTTCCAATATTTAATAAAAATAATATAAGCATGAAGTAAAGAAATATAAAATAAATTGAATGTAAAAAGTTTAAAACAGAAAAATGTTTTTCTCGTGTTATTCGATTTTTTCATATTTGCACAATCCGTATCGGATCTCATATTTATTTAATATTCCAGTAAAATTAAACTTTAAGTATTTCTTATTTGTACTTATCAATGTGTGTAAAACTTACCTGATGGCAACACTGAAATTAAAAATGAAATAAATATCAATTATTATTAGGAATATAATTTATTTTTAAGATATCAAAATCATTGATTTTTATTGGCTACATACGATTTTTTATTATAATTTTGTTACCAGCTGGGCAAACCTTAACTATATAGGCATTTATAACTATTTTTATTAATCTGTATAAAACTTACCTCCTAATACTGTGAAATCAAATATTAAATAAAAATATCAGTTATTATTATAAATATAATATTTTTAATATAACCTAGTTTACCACAGAAGTAAAAACTGTAATAATCAATAATAATTACAGAGAAAATTTCAAAAAAAACGTCAAATACATATCACATAATATAAAATTAAAATTACGAACTGAAATACTTTTACTTACGGAGTTTTTCGTTTCTTCCGTCTACAGAAATAATAAAAAATAACAACGATAGTTATTTTAAAATAAGAAATTAGATACACATTTAGTTTGTCCACTATACTCCGTTGCACAAAAGAAGGAATATGTTTTTTCATCCGTACCTGCGCATCTCCCACCACATTTGCCGGTTGTTTTACGTGATTTCACGCGTTAGGCATTCATACTATCGCCAATGCGAGAAGCGTATATTTTCACTCGTGAAACGAAATATAGTTCTATTAAATGGTAAAATCATAACAAGTGCAAAATAAAGGTACATGAAGTGAAAATATAGTTAATACAAAGTGTTATTTATGTTAACGGCCGAAACCCCAGATGGTTGAAACATACTATACAAATGGAATAAGAGCTTGTCACTTTTCTGTAAGTTTAGAGATATTCACATGACGAGGCATAAAGCTGAGTCCTGCTCTCTAATACACTTTGACGGAGAAGTAAAAGGTATCCACATGTACGCAATTCTATTGAATGTCTAGAAATTCTAGATGTTTATCTATAAACACCTATAGTTTACCTATTACCTACACACAGAAAAAATAACATAATCTGCGTGAAGCAACACTTTTAAAAAAGAAAAAAGAAGTAGATTATGACGTGTTATTCAGGGAAAATATTTTAAACGAGGAAAATTTTGGACCTCGTTTTTACTCAGTGAAATTTACCCATATGTATTTCTTATTAGTTATTATTTATCTTTGTAAGACTTACATGGCTCTGAAAAATATTAAAAATTAAAAAAAAACAGGTATTAAATTATTATTATCATCAGTTATTTTATACAAATTGTTAAAAACATTATTAACTTATTATTGGGAAAATCACTTTCCTCTGGAGCTTTGGATAGAAGGCTGAGAGAACGAGTCCAGCAAGTTCAAATGAAGTACTATGTTATGTTGGAAAACTCGTTTGTGCTTTGTCAACAACAAATATGTCATAATATGGTTAATTAACTAAATAAATATTGTATATTTTTTAATAATATTTATTTATTGATAACTGAAATAGCCGTGACAAAATCGTAGGAAAAATCCGGATTTTGGATAGTTCGAAAATTCGAATTCTTGGATTTTTATCCGAACAGAATTAATTTAACTATAATGTGTATTATTTGCATTCACATCAGTAATGTATACATTTTTGTAATCAGAGGAGTGACCTTGATAACACATTAAAAGTTTAAATTTTAAAAACCAGAATATATCGAAGATTGCATTCATAGATATATAAGTGGTATGTTCTGAATGAAAGTTGCAATCTGCACTATTTATTAAAAGTGTGCTCAGAACCGTTATCCGATTGCATTCACTCGGAGTGTCAATAGTATATGTGAGTGAGCGTACGATCGAGGCCGTCCGAAATGATTTTCGTGACGTTCAGCCTTGGAATTTTATTCCCGGGTCACGTGAAGAAGTTTCCCTTCAAAAAAGAAAGAAATTTAAAAAAAAAAACAACTTTTTTTTTTTTTTAAAGGACTAATTAAAATCGTAAATATTACTGCCTTTCAAAATATGTATAGTTGAACTTTGCTCCAAATCGTTTTTCGTTAACAATGGTATATCTTAAGTTAAAGTAGTTAAAGGTATGATTATACGTTTACCAATTTTCCTACAACCCACCTATAACCGAAGCCGCACCCGGTATCTGGTATCAGATCTTTTATATTAGATTAAAATAAATCATTGCAAATGAAAACAATTCAGAGGATGAACTGATTTCTAGTAAATATTGTTTGATATTTTACTATTTTGTAATAATTATACAATAAATAACCAAAATGTATCGAATTTCAACATAAATAAGTACGTTTTAAGTAAGCCAATAATAATTAGTTTAAAAATGAATATTGACATAAAACTCGTAAAATTTAAATAGCTATAAGTATATCATAGACNTGGGTTATATATCTGGGTCTAAAATAGTGTGTATTTTGATTAATAATTATGTGTACCGATATTTTTAACAAGTATATTATTTTTAATTACGTAAATGACAGAAATTTTAGTTTCAACTCAAAGATATTTTAATTTGTTTAATCTCAATTAAAAAATGTAAACAAATAACTACTTTATAGTAATCAATGGTATACAAATATCATAAACATTAATCATGGTCCAATTGATTTCATATTCAAATGTATCTATTAAATGTTCCCAGTCGTTACGATTTGCACAATAATTAGATGTTATTTAATGTAAAGATAAAGTCCATCAATGCCATCAATATCGGAATATAATGCTGATTTTGCATACTCATATAAAATACTTACTTTTGTTCAATATGCCAATTTTACCTATTTAGTATAAATAAAGAACTAATTCAAATCATGATAATAATATATTTGTTAAATTGTAAGGTTTAATTGGAATGGTTGGAAATAATATTTAATTTTTTTTTTTTAGTACATACACTCTTTAAGACCTTTTTTAATTTCTGCATCCGTTGTACCTTAAAAATAATTTCAAGGATGATTATTATTATTCATTATTATTTTTAACGCCACAAAGGGCAAAGTATACAATTTTTTTAATGCCAAAATGAAAAATATAATCACACATACACAGTAATAACAAAGTTTACATGCCATTAAAGATAAGGTTAAATTACTGATTGGTTAGCTAGTCGTAGGAATCTATAAATAGGGTGATTATAGCCATTAGAAGTTATGTTGGTTAGTATGGAAAATACCAAGTGGCTTCTAGCGTTGAATGATGGTCTGGAGCATCTATGAAATCATTAAGAAGGGAAGAAATAAAGTCGAAATTGGCTTCAAAGCGTCTGGTAGATATTTAATTGAATTAGGCATAAGGGAACTCCGAGTCAGGCGAAGTATGCTGAAATTTAAGAACTAATGATGCATACGACAAAAATGTATTCTGGTCACGTACTTCCTTGACTTCTGAAATTTAACTACCCGTATAGGGACTGAAGTTTAGCTTTTTACACCCCTTAAAGAACCCAAATATAATGCTAAAAGGTTAAAATTCTTCATGGTGTAAGTATCAAGGGTATGTCTTTTTAAAGTTTCAACTTTTACCCCTCCTCAACCAATGCAGATTGCAACCACACATTTCATGTGAAGAACTCGAAAAGAACTGAGTCTTAAATATCTCTGCATACTCATCAAAGCAAGGAAGTTAAAATTCATATAAATAGGTAGGTAGTATATTGTTATCAAGGACATGTCCTTAGAAAGTTTCAACTTCCAAATCCCATCGCCAGTGTACTGCTGATAGGTATATTTTCAAAAACATTAAAGATTGTTTTTAAATAATAAATATTAAAGTCAATATCGACAATTAACAAACTTCACACGAAATAAATAACCACTGGCGTGGTTTT